TCGCAATATTATGACCAAGCCTGATCTTAGATTGAATAGTGACCTTGTCCTCGATTGGACCCTCAGTTCAAGCCTTGTCGTGAATGAAGAACATAACAAGTGAGCAAAGTTATTAACAGTAGCTAGAAGGCAAAAATAACATTTTATTGCTTTGAATTGCGTGTTATAATGTGTCAAATCAAAGAAAAACTTTTTCTTTATATAGTAAGAGAATTTCAGTCATAGTACAAGTCTAAAAAAGGTAAAATTTTCTTTTCCCGTTAATTGTTGGTCCATAATCGATTCTGAACGAGATTCGCGCCGTAATGTCCGATTAAGGGCGATTATTACGACCCCCTTTCCGTCGTGCATAACCGTCCGCCGTGTCTCCTGAGGTCTAGAAGTTATACTTGGTTCGGGGTGCGTCGTTTTACCGTTTTCGATGTCGGATATATCATTCACTCTTTCCGGGTCTCGATACGATGAGTCTCTGGCCTCGATTACAATCTCGCGGATTCGTGCTCCCCTTCGTTCTCTCATCGGGGAATCGGAATAGACATTGCCCCCGATTTTATCGGTACACACGAATAAATTATGCAATAGTAACCAGAGTATATCCAGATCAAACATTTTTAGTCACTAGATTTTGCCGTGAAGGGATATAAGATATATAATTAATATGATAACGCCGGACTATATTGTTATCTTCTGATTTTAATAGCAATAAGTTCATTTGCTTAGTGTTTAATTCATTTTGTTTCTCCTTTTCTTTCTCTATGTGTTCTCTTCGTTGAATAACATGAAGAAATGTGCTTACAGGGAATGGAATGATATATAGCCAATTACTTAAATCTTTCTTCTAGATATACATCGTTTTTCTAATTCGTTTCATAAGAAGAAAGAAAAGCACATTGAAAATTATTTTAAAATTAAAATGCCGATGTTAGAGCATACACTTGATCTTCTAAGTTTTATTTTGACCCAAAAAAATGAGTTTTATTTTGACAAATCGATAAAGTTATTTACAGTGGTTTGACTACGAAAATAATGATTTTCACGCGAAATACTCTTTATTGTTTTATATCGAGCAACTAATCTATTAATAAAATAAGATATGATGATGGTAGTGACAATTTTATGCGTTTTTAACTTATAGTTATCTGCAACGATATTATTACTAAACAGAATATTTTTCTATCAAATTTTATCCGATAAAAGGATCTTATTTCTAACCGAATATTCTTTACTTTCATATGACATGTTTATCGAGCTGTGTGAAATTAAATTAATAGATAAGTTCTGACTGGTTGTGCGAATAATTCAAACTTCATATTTTATGTATCCACTACATGTTTTTAGGAGTGATTCTTTTGCTCTTGCCTTTTTTGTCCTCTTATTTTCTCTTTTTCTTCCATTCCACTTTTGGTAGGAGGCAGAGAAAGGTGAGGAAGAGGGACACCAGTGCGGAGGCACGAACTTCGCGAATGAGTTTAAAAAGGAAAAAGTTAAAAAAAATTGTAGCTAGTGGGAATTGAACTTATGACCTTATAAAAATTTTGAACTTTCTTGACCACTAAACTATATTTTTGGGTTGTGTCAATGAGATTCAAAACTTAATATATAATGATAAAAAATAAATTTTGACTTATATATATATTATAATTTTCGATAAAATGGGTTCGGGTGAACCCTTCCGCTCCTAAATCCGCCCCCGGGAGACAAAGAAGGACATTTTGCCATGGAAATTAGGAGTTGCAGGCACGGAGCAAGACTTCCTTATTTGGAAAGTTGAAATCTAAAAACAGAAGGCATTAACAGGACAGTACAATATTTGCAGATTAATTACAAATGGACAGTTAACACGTGATCTCCCACTAGGTCGTTTGGTGTACCGGCCGACGAGCCCTTTATGGCATTTTTCGGTTAAAGGAGGAAAAAACTCCAAATCCCAGGATTGTTTCTTCAAAAAATCCCATTCCTCTTATAGTCATACCTTTCTTGATTAAATCTTTGCTAAGACATGATTTTTTATTCTAGTGATAAGAGATTAAAAAAACGAAGAAAATGCAAAGCACGCCAAAAATCTTATAAAAGGAAAATAAATCCTTATCCAAAAGGCCGAGTCAAATATCTTATTTTAATGCACGCCAATAATCTTATTTAAAATTTCAATTAATAACTTCAGCCTTTTAATTAGACTAGACTTAATGTACGTGCGTTGCGCATGTCTCTGCTACTAATGAGAATAAAGTTTTAAAATAATATTAGTATTGTTCAAGAATATGTTGCATTACGATATAAAAAAAATTACAAGTTCTAAAATGATAAGTGTTAATCATATTTAGGGAGTGGATCCACTCAATAATTTTTTCGTAAGTTTGTGTTAGCACTTGCTTCATTGTACAAAAATATAGCAGGAGTAGCGTTCGATTTTAAAAAAAAAAAAAGTAGCGTTCGATTGAAAGAAAAATGGTCGTTCAACTTTACATGAACATTTGGGTACATGCGTTGCATGCATATTGTTAGTTACTATTAAACTTATATAAAATATATTACCGGTAATTAAAAATTCTTTACACATTTTATAAGAGTGCTAAAATTTGATTGTAACTTTCACATTTTAATTATCAAAAACAAAAAAAAAAGACTGTTAAACCTAAAAACTGTTCGACGCTTTCCTAATGTGAATTTGCACTCTATTTTCTATGCTAGTATAGTTATAAGTTATTCCCTTTTTAAATTAGTCTAGTATAGTCATGAGTTATCCCCATTTTTTATTTTTTATTTTTTATTTTTTTGTTCTTTATAATTTTTCTTTTTTCATCTTTGTAATTTTGTTTTGGTGAAGAACCCTACTAAAATGGTTAAATAAAGAAATTTGCGTGGACTTGAAATTCTAATTCTTCTATTAGTTAATAAGAATATACATGTCCTATATATCTTGGAAGTTCTAAAATTATAACATTTTTTAAACAAAAAATCGACTTATAAACCTACAAAAATGTTTTGAAATGTGATTTTCAATGCCTTGGAAGTCCGATTATGTGAGTTTGCAATGGCTTTTTAAGCTTCTAAACCTAGAAACGTGGTTTCTTTTACAAATATAGTATATATTACATAAATCAAATAAGAAAAAATTAACACAAAAAATTAGTAAGTCTTTAAGTCCTAAAATATTAGGAAAATAATTAAAGTCTTGAATATTAGAAAAAAATTAAAGTCCTAGATATTAGGAAAATAATTAATTAATTATTTTATCCACTCTGAAATCTATTTTTAAAGAGTAAAAAGGAGAACGACATTTCGATAAGGTCTTTCGTGCTTTAATATAGTATAAATAGATTAAAGACGCCGCTGACCTAAAATACATGAACAAATATGATAATTATTTAATTTTCAGAACTTTAGTTTGCCTATCCCTCCATCAATTAGATGAGCCCGAGATTGTTACAACTAGGTGTGTACAAACCGAACCAGAAAACCGCACCAAACCGAAAAGTAAAATCAAATCGATTAAAAAACTTGATTAAGTTTGGTATTGAGTAAAAAACCCGAACCAAACCGACATATGAATATATAATTTTTATATATACTTTTAAGACTTTTTATAGAATTATTTTTAAAAAAATATCAAGAAATATTTCCAATTCTATTATGGGATGTAATATTTAGTTAAATATAAAGTGCTTCATGTTTATCAACTTTAAATAATGGGTTATATGATCACTTTCTTATCATGTGTTAGTGATGTGCGTCAATCTCTTTGTTCTTTCATATTCATATGTCTATTAAATTCTTATATCTTTTTTCAAATAAATAGAACATATCATTATATAGGTTCATATTTATTTTTATGTTTATTTATTAAATTCGGTTAACCTTGAAAGTGTACATTAACGTAAAATTATTGACAGACGACTAAAAAATAACTATCATGTGTTACTAAGAAAATTCTTCCATAAAAATATTTTAATATATCATATATTTATCATTTTTTTAAAATTTTTACTAAATATATACTTACTTATCAAAATTTAACATAATAAGATTGAAATAATATTCATATAATAAGAAAACCCCGAAAAATCTGACAAAAGCGAACCAATCCAAACTAATATAGTTGGTTTGGTTTGGTTTTGATAAAAACTAAACTAACCGGTCCATGTACACCCCTACTCACAACCCATTCATGCCATTTATTATCTGCTTTAATTTAATAGATCTCACGGATTTATCTTGGACTAAGTGGTGAAGCTAGCTTGTGGCAATGGATTCAATTGGATGATTGGATCCCCTTTTTTACCGTAAAATTATATTGCATAAATATATGAGGTATTATCACTTTTAGCCCGCGTCAGAAACTATTTATATTCGGTAGCCGAAAAGTATATGTATAAAATTTGTATAATTTTTATAATAACATACATAATGTATATATATAAAAAAAAATATACATTTTTTCGATTATTATTTTGAGAGCGGCTATACAGTGTCATATTTTTAAATATATAGAGTAATATATATATATATATATATATATATATATATATATATATATATGATGTGAACTTGTGTTTTGACTTAATGGAACCCAAAAAACCGCTCCTGATTTGCACTATATACATACTTCAAAGTAGAAATTAGCAAAGATAAAAAATAATGGCAAATAGTGGAGTAGTCATTCCATTATTGGAGTAGTCATTCCATTATTAGCTCGAAAGGGGTAAATTAGTCACCCAAATCCAAAAAGGGCAAATCCGTCAGTATGCAGCCTATAGTTCGAAAAGGCAATTTCCTAAAGTAGGAAGTTAATTTTATATTGCAAAGTAACCACGCGTCAGCAATCTATACGAATGACAAAACTTGTAGTACGAGTCTGACCTATAATAAACCAATTGGCTAATAGAAATTCGCCACGTAGCATATAAGCGCACAAAACCACTATCGGTTTTACAAAACCCAATGAGAATAGCGGTTTTTTTGGAGACACCCTAATGCCCCACCCACCTTTACACCTACCCACCTATCCGCGTTTCGCCATTTTCATATATAGAAACACTTTCCTTATATAGGCAAATTCAATCAGAAGACTGACCCAAAACGACGATTGTGAAGCCTCCTTTTGTCTCCATTAACCGCAAGTTTTTCCTCTCTTACTTTTTCCTCGGATAATTCTCTCCGTTTTCCTCATATCTAAACACTGATTTCGTCTTCCCCATTTTTGCTTCTTCTCGCAAATTCAATTTCTGTGGTAAGTCTTCATATGGAAACATATCTTTTGTTTTCGCTTATGTGAAAAATTGCACATATAGCTCGTACATGTGTACGTATAGGTGTGTAATTGTACTGTGTGTATTTGTAGAGAGAGAAAGTAGAGAGAGTGTGTGAGATCGGCGATGGGGAGAGGAAAGATAGTGATAAGAAGAATTGACAATTCGACGAGCAGGCAAGTGACGTTCTCGAAGAGGAGGAATGGATTGTTGAAGAAGGCGAAGGAGTTAGCGATCCTTTGCGATGCGGAGGTCGGAGTCATCATCTTCTCCAGCACTGGCAGGCTCTACGAATATTCTAGCACCAGGTGCTTTTCAATATCTCCTTCTTTTTTTTTCAAATTTACTGATTTAATTTATTAATTTTTCAGAATTTTTAGTTTTATTATTAATGTATGTAGATTAACAAGATCTGCGTGCTAAATAGTTTTCACCTTCCAATTTTGCATCTGCTAGTGTGTTTGACCTGGATAATGTGGCATAATAGACAGTTTAATACTTATGCAGTTAATAAATTCAAATAGCTAGCGAGTGAATTTCAAATCTAAATAGTAGAATGAGCTCATAATCCGAGAGTTTATGGTTCAAAATGCTTTGTTTAAATATGATGCTTCCTTTTATTGCACGCTTTCTGTTTGTTATAATGTCGGTTAGTTTGTTTAATGACTTGTCTTGTAGGAGCTCAATATGTAGGAAAATGTGCGGATAGTGAGTGAAGAGCTAGCTTAAGCTAAGTGATTGTATAGAATGAGGCTATAGCTGGTTTAATTATGAGATTATGGCCACTGGCCGTTTAATGTGGATAATGGAAGTATTTATGTCAGTAGTGCTTGAGAGAGTATACCATTGCTACTTGAACCTTCCTTTTGATGTTTATTGGTTTACGATTGAGGAGCTTGGTTGAATCTCTAATGTTTGAGACTTGAATCCCCTTCAATTCCCAAATGTCGAACTTTGCACCTAAACCAAATAACTTCTAAAATCCTAATCTGAACTAGCGCAAAAATTGACAGCCTACGAAGTCTTTTTTAAAATATAATTGTCTCTAAGCCAATTGGTGAAACTTGGTGAAACTTCGATTAGCTGGACTTGTAAAATTGGTGAAACTTCGATTAAGTTTTAATACATTGAGCATAATTGTAGCCACGCCTACTAAATAGTAGGCTATAACTACAAGTATTCATGAAATAACTGACATGAACAAAGTCAAATTGACTCTCAAAAAGCGAAAAAGTTTCACATAAATTGGAGCGGAGTGAGTAACTGGATAATGCAAAATGTACATTCTTCGTGCTTGCATTTTGATGCACAGTTGAACTCCCATAGTTATAAACTATATCTACATGAATAACTATCCAAGGAATGCTGCATTGCACTTAACAGGATTAGCATTTTGTGAAAATTAAAGGTTGCCTTAAATTATTCAGTTAGACGTGATATACACTATAATACTCGAGTACATAATAGCATCAATATCAGTAGTACTTTTTCATTGATTAAAACTTGCATCTTTTTCCAAAGAAGAATCTTTACAAGTAGCAAGACCATCTATGCTTCAATTTTCGATATCTTAATTAATTTACCCGTTAATTACATACCTCTAATTGTGTTTCTTCGTGTTTGAAATATTAGGTAGATCTTGCTAATCTCCATCTTTATGTAAGAAAATCATCAAAAACTTAAAATAGGAAGAACTTTATTGAACTATATGCTTTATCCTTGGAAAAAAGTGCTATATTAGACCAAAATATCCATCGCTTCTTAGTTTTGGTTTTTTAAGTTAATAATTTCATTTTTTTAATGTCTGTCAAGCTATTAATTGGTTGTACTGATACATACATAAGCCATAAGGGTGTTTTTCTTGTGAATTTACTACTTCAACTTTCTACTCTCGTTGTGTGCATGTACTTTTGTGATCTTTTGATAGATGAATTAAGTATGTTGTTTTACATATATGGCTTCTACCACATATGCTAAAAACGAAAGCTGATAGGACTTGAGAATTTCGATGGTTGTAATATGATTTCAGATTAGATTGTGAGGGTAGAATTGGTCTTCTGAAATAATGGGCTTGATTTTTAAAATCATTTGCAAGTAAAAGTTCAAATAAGGGGTAGATGTCCTGCTTGTTTTGCTGAGATGCGGTCCATCAGACTCAGCACTTTCACATGCAAGGTGATCACTAAGATACTATCTAAAAGGCTTAACCCCATGCTGCCTAAGTTGGTATCTAAGAATTAGATTGGATTTGTTCAAGGCAGATCCATAACCATAACAGAAAATGTACTATTGGCACAAGAGGATAGATCAAGACATTTCACAACCGATCAAAGGTGGCAACATAGACCCATAACAGAAAATGTACTATTGACACAGGAGGATGGTTCAAGACATGTCAGAACCAAACAAAGGTGGCAACGTAGTTATTAAAGTGGAGATGGCCAAACCCTATGACAGCATCTCTTGGCTTTTCCTTACTTCTGTGTTAAGGAGATTTGGTTTTGCAGAGGGATATATTGACATGGTATAGAGAGCTATATCTGATGTCTGGTACTTATTTACCATTAATATAATGGATCCAAACAAGTGTTCTTCTCCGTCAATCAAGGATCTCCTTTCCCTTTCTCTATTCATAATGGGCTCTGAAGTTCTGTCCAAACTTCTCAACAAGCTGAACTAATCAGACAGATACACTTTTTTCTCCATGAACTGTAATGGCCCTAAGGCGAATCATTTAGCATATGCTAATGATATACTAGTTATTTTTAGTGGTGGAAATAGCAAGTCTATTAGGCTTGTTATAAAATAGGTGAGAAGATATGAAAGATCATCAGGCCAGACGGCAAACATGAACAAGAGCTTCTTCCCTCACAAATCCTAAAACCTCTAATTCCATGACCAACAGAATGAGGAACACAATCGGTTTAATGAATAAGGAATTTCCATTCATATATTTGGGGTGCCATGTGTATGTTTGAAGGAAAAAGTTGTCACACTTTGATGATATTGTTAATTAGCAAGATTATTGAGAGGTTAAATAGATGGCAAGGGAGGAAGTTCTCATATGGAGGCAGATATATTCTTATCAAACATGTGCCCCATGCCATTCCAATATATACATTAGTTGCTATAAACCCACAAAAGAGCTCCTTTACCCTAATGGAAAACTATTTTGCCAATTTTTTCTAGGAGGCATATTCAGAGAAATCTAAATATCGTTGGAGTTCTTGGAATAAGTTAAGTTCTAAATAAGAGGGTGGAATTGGCATTAGGAAAATGGAGGATATTGACGGCACTTTTTCCATAAAGAGATTGGAACTTTAGAATAGGCACTCTTTGGGAAGATTTCCTAAGAGCTAAGTATTGCACAAGGGTACAACCTGTGGCCAAGAAAAACTGCACAGGGCAGTCACATTCATAGAGGAAACTTATGGAGGTCAAACAAGAAGCAAATGTCAAGTATGGCATGTAAGGAAATGTAATAGTAGTTTTTGGTGGGATAATTGAACATGTGTGCTATGGCAGAATGTTGCCCATCATCAAATATGTTAATAGAACGATTATGGAGGGGAGGACATGGGATGTTTGGAAGCCCTACGAAGTTCTCCCTTACCACTTGGTGCAATACATATCAAAGATTGACATTGGGGACCCAAAACCTTCCTGACTATGCTATTTGGATCCCCCCATTGATGGTCATTATTCGAATAGTTTAGCATAGTTGAAGGTTAGAGTACTTGGTCAGAGAAATGACTTCATCAATAAGGTATGGCATAAACACATTCTATTTAAGATCTCTTTTCTTAATTAGAGACCATTACAACACATTATGCCTTTTGGTGAAATCATTTCAAATTTTGGTAATCAAGTTGTGTCTAAGTGTAACTATTGTAAAGTTTTCAAGTGTGAAGCCATTCAACAAGTTTATTTTCAAAGTGAGGCTGCACATCATATATGAAAATATTATGGAGAATCATCGGTCATTCAACACCAGTTCTTGTCCATAAGAAGGATCTTGAAGACATGGTGGGGTAAAACAAACAACTAGCTAGGTCCACAAGCTGTTACTTCAGATTGTACCACCGTCATATGTTGGAAAATTTGGAAGTGCAGATGTTCTTGTAAATATGGGAACAAAAATGTTTGTTTAGAACAAAATGGATTTCAGATTTTTTGATTCCTGAAAGCAACTTTGAAGATGCCCTTCCCTAGCTATGAGATGGATTTTAACTTGGAACAGAATCTGTGAGATAGTGAAAAGGTTGAGGCCAGTCTCAAGGTAGAAGCAAGTGCAATGGATCAAACCTTCCCTGGTTTTCATATACTAATGGAAAGGCTGGGATTAGTGGAGGTAGTGATAAATGAGTAGAGGGATTTGCTCTTGCTTCCTTAGTTCCTATCTAATGCTACAATAATTATACGACTGAGATTTCTGTAGTTAAGTTTGAATTATTATGGTGCATCCAACAATAATATAGGACATTATACTGGATTGGACTCACTCATTGTCTCTAATTACTTGAGAAAAGGGAACATATAATATCACGATGAAGGGTAGTGTGGAAGACAATATATTATAGGCCAAACTAATGTGGAGGTTCTTCATTGTTACATATGTGAGAATGCACGGGAGAAAACATCTATTATTAATATTTTATTAAGTCTTTTACAATAGCCTTATTTATTACTATACATAATACATATTCTACTCATATTCCATGTGGAACTAGAGTTATTTACATAACTATCTAAAACTCCACCCAAGCCGGTGCATACAAATCATATGTACCGAGCTTGTTATATATATATATATATATATAAAACTAATACGAGGACTAGTGAGGGATTTAGTAAAAATATCTGCAAGTTGATCATTCGACTTCACAAACTTTATAATCTCCTGAGAGTATCTTTTATTTGACGAAGTGACAATCAATTTCAATGTGTTTAGTTCTCTCATGGAATACCAGATTTGATGCAATATGAAGGACAAATTGATTATCACACATAAGTTCCATCTTGCTGATCTCACCAAATTTTAACCCCGTGAGCAAATGTTTGATCCAAACTACACATTGCCACAACCATTGTTCGATATTCTGCTTCTGCACTAGACTGAGCAACCACATTCTGTTTCTTGCTCTTCTAAGACATCAAATTACCTCCTACTAAAACACAATATCCAGACGTAGAACGTCTATTAGAAGGTGATCCTGCCCAGCCAACATTTGAGTATCCAATAATTTGCTCATGGCCTCAATCTTCAAACAATAATCCTTTGTCTGGAGCTGATTTCATATATCGAAGA